CGAAGTTCCGATAAACCCCGATTTCTTGTTTTGGGAGTTCTTTTCCATTCTAGAAAACATTCCGCAAGTCATTCGTTCCATGCGCAGCATTTAGAATCGATTTTGTCTCAGCTTGAGCCAAAAAAGTTAAGAAAAACTCCTGCAATTATTTGTGACGGTGAATCTTCATTCTCCGTATATCGCCAGGTTCTTCAATTAACTCATATATCTATTTCAAGAGAGAACTATAGACTATTTCCGCATTCGACCACGCACAAACTCTTCGTTGTGAACTACACAGATCAAAAAATTTGGCAGATAGTGTGAAATCTAAGGATTCGAGTTATAGTCGCAGAATAGTCCGAATGGTTTTTGGACAAGTTTAAACATTTACATTCACTTTTTCAATTAAAATTACGAGCCTACAGATGGGACCGAACTACTTGAAGACTGGACTTCTTGGAGCTTTGAACATACAAGACTATCACCGTCGTCTCGAATTGTTTGAGAAGACTTGTGATGATGATGGCGCAAAAGCTTGGTATTTTCAATATTTTAAATTTAAATATTAGGCAACGATGAAATACGATTAAAGAAATGCTGGCGTTTCGAGGAAAAACATTAAAATAGCATATTAACTAAAAAAAAAATAAATCGTAATAAATGAAAGAAAAACGAATTTTTTAAATTTTCTTTTTTTTCTCCTTTTTTCAGGGTACGTCGAAATTTCGATAACCTTTTCGATTGCAATTCCTTGCGGAGCCGATTGATTGCTGGTGTTATTCAACCCTTTTTATCGTCGAATTCAATTGAATGTTTCAACTCAATTTTGGCTGAGCTGATAAAATCGCCGTTACGTGCTGATGATGCTTGTTTGAAAATTATGGAGTTCTTGAAGGGTAAATTGCAGTAGTCGTGAGTATTTCATTATATTTTCAGACGAAAGCGATCGCTATCATCGATCTGTGATAGATTACGACGAAGTCGTACGATTTGAGCATCAAGAATTGTTTTCAAATCTCCGGGAATTCGAAAAAACCCAATTTCTAATTAAATTAGGGTTTCGTGAAAGACCAATCTTAAAACTACCTCTTATTTTAGCCCAAGGTATGTGCTCACCAATCTCTGAGGAAATTCTTATTTTCAATTTCACAGACAATCCTGATTCGCATGTTGTATGGTTACACCAGCAGGTTCAGAAATTCAAAATAATAATGTATGAGGAAGGTTTTATAGTGAAGTCAAATGAGTATGTTTTTACTGGAAATTTTGCTGGAGAACTTCCGAAACTTTATTTCAGCAGTATTGTCGATGTGAAATCTTCGGACAATCGCATAGGATGCTCCGATATGAACTGCAAGAGACGATTCCCAAAAATATGCCAGCATTTGTAAAAAAAAAATTATCTTTCTAACCTTCCAAAAAATTTTAGATGGGCTGCGGTTTGTTCTTTAACGGAAAAAGAAAAAGAGGTAGAAATCGAAAAGATTGCCGATGAAGCACGCAAAGTTAGTTTGAGAAAAAGGGTAACATTGAGTAGGCCAGTATTATGTGGAAGAAAAGCTCCAATGCGGAAGAGAACAAACAAGAGTAAAAATAATGGGCGAAGACTTTTGCAAGATTTATCGCTGTAAGTTGTTTTCAAATATTCGAAGTACGAACACTTTCTTTCAGCATGACAATGTACAATGATAGTGAAGACAGTGTACTTCAAAACAATGAATCCAGTGTAAATTTGTCTTCTTTCACCCCAACATTGGCACACAAAAGGTAATTGACCGTAGTAACCAAAAGTTGGACCAATATTTGAATTTTTAGATATCGAGATTTTGAATCTGATTCTGGATCAGTTTCCAATATTTTGGAAACATCAACACAGATTTGGACAACTCCAAATGAAAATAAAAGGTAATTGACCGTAGTAACCAAAAGTTGGGCCAATATTTGAATTTTTAGATATCGAGATTTTGAATCTGATTCTGGATCAGTTTCCAATATTTTGGAAACATCAACACAGATTTGGACAGCTCCAAATGAAAATAAAAGGTAATTGACCGTAGTAACCAAAAGTTGGACCAATATTTGAATTTTTAGATATCGAGATTTTGAATCTGATTCTGGATCAGTTTCCAATATTTTGGAAACATCAACACAGATTTGGACAACTCCAAATGAAAATAAAAGGTAATTGACCGTAGTAACCAAAAGTTGGGCCAATATTTGAATTTTTAGATATCGAGATTTTGAATCTGATTCTGGATCAGTTTCCAATATTTTGGAAACATCAACACAGATTTGGACAACTCCAAATGAAAATAAAAGGTAATTGACCGTAGTAACCAAAAGTTGGACCAATATTTGAATTTTTAGATATCGAGATTTTGAATCCGATTCTGGATCAGTTTCCAATATTTTGGAAACATCAACACAGATTTGGACAACTCCAAATGAAAATAAAAGGTAATTGACCGTAGTAACCAAAAGTTGGACCAATATTAGTATTCTTTTAGAAGTCTCTCAAACTTCGAATCGAGCTTAACGATGTCTGGAGAAAAAAGAAAAATAAAAAAACTACGGAAATATTCGCCCATTTTCTGATGTCCACCATTTCATTATATAATTTTGTTTTTTGTTAATAAAAAAATCCTTTTTGGTTTGAGTTAATGTACAAAAATTTAAATAATATTGCAATTGTCATCAGACCAGAATAATTTTAATTTATTTAAATTATTTAAAAAATTCTCAGAAAATCATTAGTCAAAAATTGTTAGTCAAAAAAAAAATAGTCAAAAATCACTAGTCAAAAACCATGAGTCAAAGAATAAAAAATCATGATACAATTTTTATGAGTCAAAAATCATGAGTCAAGTCAAAAAGTATGAGTCATTGAACATTGGCCTGGAAATTAGCCCATTTTTCGCTGTCGACGTCGGAAATAAAAACAGCGTATCTAAAATTTATTACCGCTACCAGTACGACACTCCAATTACCCATCACCCTCAATTTAGGCGTCGGCCTAACTCGTGGGCGACATTTGTATCAGCCAATTAGTTTGCCCATTGCCCCCAAAACGGGTTACTCCAAACCAATCTGTATTTTTGAATACTTTTTCTACCGAAACGAAAAAAATTTCCAGTAACACCATATGCGTTATTGCTATACTTCAATCGGCTTTTATAGGAGTAAACAATTGTTAAAAAAAAATAGAGTTTATAATCTACTCAATTTCAAACTATGACCAAAAGAGAAAAAAGAAAAATCAAATATACAACTTCTTCTATAAAAGGTGATTTTGTGTGATTGTGGTGTGGGGGCACAAAAAAAGATATGCAGGTGAGTGAAACAATAAGAAAATTTCTTCAAATAATGATAATAATATTAGAATAGAAAATATTAAGGGAAATAATCAAATAATATGTATGTCGAACTGGATGTGAGAGAGAGGGGGCCGGGGACCGAAATTGAGCAAGATTCCAAAGTAAAAGGAAAAGTTGATTATAATTCAAAGATGGTGAAGAATTTCATCGTTAGGCACACTGGCACCCATTATGCAACAACCCAATTATGGAGAACAAAGCAGTAGATTGAAAGAAAGAAACAGAAGAAGAACATATATTTTAAACAAATCAGGACTCGAATTTCGAAGAACAAAAAAAGGCACCAAGAAAGATGTGAAAAATCGCTTATTTGATAAGAATTTCTAGGTAACTATTATTAATTACACCATATAAATTCGAAAAAGAAAAACAAAGAAAAAGGCAACATGAGGGAAAATAAAGAGAGGGTCAGTAATTAATAGTGAGTTTTAATGAAGAAAATCATTTCTTGATGATAACAATTGAGAAAATTATTGGCGAGGCGCAGAGAAAAAAAAGAGAGAGAGAGAGTGAAAAGAACATTTGAAAAATTGAAACGAAACCAAAAAAAAAATGAAAGAAACCACACGGGGTGTTATTCGAAGTGTGTGCGTTTTTTGTCATTGTTGATTGTGTATATGTATAGTGTTGGTTGGTTGGTTGAAGGTTTTACTGTTTGTAGGGATGTTCACGCGAAGCACCCAATAAACGACGATTGTTAAGCATTGCACCTGAACAAGAACATTTGTTAGACATACTAATCAGCAGCACAAAAAAGTCGGGTTTGGTTTTTGTTTTCGAGAGAAATGAATTACGACGAGAAGCGGACTGCGGTCGCCCATTTTTTGACCGTCACCGTCAGACACAAGCCTACCGTACCACAATTAACACCAATATGTATATCATAATATATATCTAACTATACATCTATCTATATATATAATATATAGAGAGAGAAAGTAGAAAATAGAGAGAAATAGAGAAACAAACAAAAAATTAGTCCTATAAATATATTAGACGAGAATTGTCGTTTTTTTTTTGTGTCCGTGTGTGTGATTAGCCCAAAAAAGGAAGAACAACGACGTGGGGAATCAGATGGGTACGGTTTAAAACAAAAATTGATTGAAAATAAATTTAAAACACGAGAATTAAAACACCTTTTGCATGCATTAATAATCATAATGAGTCTTCAAAGACGTATTATGAGCATTGACCGTTTTCCAGAAAACCATTTTTGAAGAAAGCTGGAAACCGACCAAATAAGGCGAAAAAAAACTGTCAATTATTTCTAGTTAATCGACGACATTAATAATTAGGCAGGCAAACATTGAAAAAAAAATTAATTTTTCCCCCAGCATAAGTTTGTGTTTGTGTTGAAGTGGCAAAGCCGTAGATGTACAAGAGATCTCAAATAAATTGGATACAATGAACTGAAACGAATGAAGGAAAGCATAAAGAGAGAAAAAAAAACAACCAAACAGAAAATAAAGGAATGTCTCACTTTTCTCGGCTTCACACGGCAATTATTTACACTATATAATAGATAAATAAATAAATAAATATGTGTAATAAATGCTGAATACTGTATAATAAATAAATAAATAAGAAAATATGTAGGTTGATATGGTGTATGTGTGGGGGTCGTTATATACAAACATCTGAATATCAAGCCCATCGTCTAACATAATACCCACCGGCTGTCTCCTGACTCGTCAAATCGACTCCCGCGTATTCAGAATATTGTTGCTGCCCGGTCTGGGCCATCATTCCGCTGTAGACTTGCGCCTGAGCAGCAGCTGATTGCGTAGCAAGTTGTTGCTGGATGGCCGCTGCGTTCAGATCATACAGACCTTGGCTGAAAGAAAACTCCGATTAATTTTCGATACTTGTTAAATCTTCGTTAAAAAAACAAACTTCGTATATCCGATTAACATTTTTGAAATTTTCAGAAAGGATTTGCAAAGAAAAATTATTTTTTAAACACAAGTATAGTTGGTATGAGCGGACATTCTAAACTCTCATGCTCTAATGTCCGTTTTGTGGTCGCAACTTTCCGGTGGACAATCTTTTCAGTCAAATAGATATTTGAGATCACGAGCTTCAGTTCTTCATTCTTCTCTCGCCATTTTTCCATTTTTTTCAGTGAAATTTTCTAATACCACCATCATTGACCGCCAGTCGTCAAACGAAAAAAAAAATCGAAAACTGAATTCCCTTGTAGTCCGTTCGAATTCACTTCTAACAACCACAACGAGGAAATACATTTCGGCAGGCGAAAAGACAAATCGGCGAACAACTGGTCGATGGCAGGAAGGAGAAGAGGTACAGACAGAAACACACACACATACACCGTGTACTCACAAATCAATTTCGCCTCGTAAACCTCACAAAATACAGGAAAAAATGAATGAAAGAGAGAGGAGAAGAAGAACCTGACATGACATATGTCCATACATACATATAATGGTCACATTGATATAAAATGTGATTGATTTAGTTTAAAAATTGTTTTCGTACGTCTTCGAAAAATCCAGATGGAATTCGAATGTTTTTATTTGATTTTTGAACTCAGACGTTAGTTTTTTTCGGCTAATTGTCAAGAACATTTTGAAATGACAAAACTACAGATGTTTTTGCCAGCAAGCTTCAAATTTTGGCAAAATTAAAAAATTTGTGTTAACCGATTTCTTGACGAACTCACTTCAACAACAACTGCTGATATTCCTGATGTTGCTGCAACAGCGCGGCTTGCTGAGCTGACGCCAAAGCGGCCGATCCTTGAGCAGCCTGTGCCTGTTGCTGCATTAGAAGGGCAGCTTGTGCCTGCGAAGTGGCGCTTCCAGCGCTGGCCGCTCTTCCACTCGGGCTCATCACAATTGGAGCTCCAACAACAGCCATGGTCGGCGATCGAGCTAATCCCGAAGCCCCAAGCATTTGGAATCCAGCGCGCGATTGCTGTTGCGCCAGAGCGACTTCTTCAAAATATTCAGAAATCAGGGATTTTTAGAAAAGAGCTTACGAAGTGCTGCAGCAAGTGGTTGTTGGTTTTTAACGGCTGCTAGTTGAGCCACAGCCAGTGCATTCTGATCAGCGTTCGATCTGTACGTGCCGTTGATAATGGCCAATTCCATTAATTGTTTCCTCTTGAGCTCATCCTCTCCTTCTGGCGCTGGCACCAAAAGCTTTTTCACTTCTTCAACGGCGCGCATAAGCTTGAGGCGCGCACGGTTGGCTGTGTCTTCGCATTGAATGAGCACGTGAAGCTCCTCGGAGAGATGCTCCCAGTTCGGCTTGCCCCGATTCATTTCCTCCTTCTTCTTGTCACGCATCGAACCACGTCCACGGACCATTATTTTACATCCAGTCTCCTGTTCGAGTTGTTTCGCTGTCATTCCTCGCGGGCCCAATATTCGCCCGACGAAGTTGTACTATAAAACCGAATCATTGGTGACACAAATTTAAAACAACAGTTACAGTATTCCATAACTGGCAAATTGAAAAAGAAATGAGTAAATTTAAAAATGAACAACTTACATCAGGATGCTCTTTAGCTGGAACAAAGACTTTCTCGGTGTGAACTGAGATCTCGCCTTGCGGTTCCGGCAGAACAACATCTTCTTTGGTGAATTCGAACTGGAACAGTGCCACACGAACTTTGCTGATCTCCTCGTCGGCTAAGCGCTCCAAATGGTGAAAAACGTTGGGAAAAGCAGCTAGTTGTTTCTTGTCTTTGAGCAGTTGCGACAAATACTCGACGGTGTACTGTGGGTGAGCTGAGTGAATGCCATTTGAGCTGCCTGAACATTTTAGAATGAAAAGCGATAAAATTGAAAAAAAAAAACATAGACAATGTAGGATAGAAAGTAGTGAATAGTAATTTGTTTCGCACAATTACCTAATTTGGCCATTTCTTAGATATTTTTTTTGGAATGATAATGTAGAAACAATTTGTGATCTATTGAAAGAAATTAAAACGGCATCTGTGATTTTTATATTTAATCGGGCACTTTAATTTGCGATTATTGAATTCTTCATAGTTTTCGATTACTGTAACACATGTTGAACTGTGTCAGACATGAATAACACATGCTACTGTGATTTGATGGGCATATTAAGATCAGTTGGCTCCACACCATACAATTGTTGTTTAAAGGCGCATTTCTAGAATACCTGCATGATTTGATTGCGTTGATTGTTGCGGTTGCGGGCCGATCGTCACCTCATTCGGATTCTGTTGCTGAGCTGCAGCGGCTGCCGCAGCGGCGGCGGCGGCGGCAATCGCATTATTCAAATGCTCCGCCTCAGCACCATTCTGCTCGTCATCCATTTACAGTAGGCGACCACCAATAATGGAGAGAAGTGAGCGAGAATGAAAAAAAAAACCCAAAGACCCGACAGCAAAACCAGGCAGAAGTAACGTTTTTCGAAACCCGTTGGCGATGCGTGTATGTGTGTGAGTGTCAGTGTGTGTCTTTCGGAGTTCAATAGAACGAGACGAGACGAATAGATGTCGAGAGGGATTGCGGGAGCCTTCATTTTACACCGAGATCCTCCACGGGCTCCCGTTGAGCTGCGTCTCGTCGCGCCGACGCGACTCGCTCCGCCAAAAATCCACTTGAATTATCCTCTCCCACTATCCGCTTCTCATCGTTTTTTGCGTCTGTTTCGTGTGCAACGTTGTGCGACACGAACGAGATGGTGAAGAAGAAGAAGAAGAAGAAGAAGGAGAAGAATAAGAAGAGGAGGAGAGATCAACGCGGAAAAAAATGAAGAAAGAACGAATCGACTAATCGTATCTTCTCGCAACAATCTCGATCTTCATTCAAATTCCAGGGCGTCCTCTTCGCCGTAATCAGAGGTCATCGCAGCCATATACATCGATAAAATCGGCAATTTTTCTCGCCAACCGTTTCCATTTTGATTCGGGCGTGGTCCGAAAAATGCCGAAATTCGGTCAACTTATATTGAATTCGAACGACAAATATTGACATTTGAAAACAGAAACAATCGATCTTCTTTTGCTTCTGCTTTTCGACCTTATCAGCTCGACCTATTCGACAAACCAAGAAGTGCCTCCAGAATTCTTTAAATATTTCATGTTAGTATGCGAAAAGTTTGTTTGAAAATCCTGCAAGTTAGCAATAATGTACCTTTAAAATCTTGATATCATAAATTAGCATTTCAAATAATTCCGCAATGTGTGAACTACAATTAATTGTGGATAACGTTTAATTTTTATAATTTTTGTAAAATTTATGCCAAAAAATCAGCAGTTTGCGCTGAATATTTTTGAAATGACCAAATTGGGTAATAAAGACAATTTCACAGAACATGCTCATGCATTAGACTGATTCAAAAATTAAAAAAAAAAACCCCAAGATAATTGGATTACGTTCTTAGAAAAAAAAACAACAGGTGTCAGCGCGCTGTGTGCTTATGTGTGGTGTTGATATTCGCCATATCATTATGATTATGATTATTATGTATTAAGATTAATTTAAACTCGAATAGGTTACCGTTAGATGTGGTTAGATGCTCCGAAGCGGTCATTTCCGACGATTTGAGTGTCGTCAGATGCGGTGATGACGACGACGATGCCGACGACGCGATATGGTGATTCGGTCGATTCTCGCCGCTCGACTGCTGAATTAAACAAGCACACGGTGTGAAATAAGCTAAGAAAATCAAAAGGAAATAAATGAGATGGAAAAAAATGAGAAGGGAAGAATGAATGGCGGTAACTATGTCAGAATAGCAACTTGGTATCAAAATTAGGAAAAGAGAGAAACATCGAAAAATATATGGTTAATCAACGTTTGATTAGTATCTAGTGAAAATCAGACATAGTTACACGATTGGGCGGAAAAAATAAAAAAATAAAACACTCGGGCAAAAATTGTGGTACTGACTCCAAAGAATTGTAAATTTTATTGGAAAACCAGGCAATTTTCTCATAATCCCAAGACTTGAGTCGAATTTGTGCGGCCAAGACTGGTCGACACGGAAATTTTGGGAAAAATGAAAATGTTTGGAAACCTACCATCGGAATTTCGACAATTAAGTATCTCTACAATAGACGTTTAAAAATGTCTTAATTGAATGAATTTAACGCCGAAACTGTACAAAGACGCACCGATTTCAAGTTTTGACTATATGAAATTATTGAAAAAAAAAAGAATCAATTGATGAGATTCTCGCGCCCACACTTCCTAGTCACACTCTACTCGGGCTGTCAACTCGATAACAAATCAAACAGTCTCATCAAACAGAAGTTCAGAGAAAAAGCTAATTCTCTAGTTTTGAGAATTGGGACGGGCCTGGGGACCAAGTTAATCACCCAGATGTCACTCCAAATCGAATGTTCTCACTCAGAGGACATTATAATGTGAACATCGTTGTGAATGAAAAAAAAAAACAACTTTAGAATTACGCAACACAACCGTAGAAAGTAAAACGGACACGTATAAAACAGGGCTGTGCGGCAATGGAATTGCCGATTTCCGAAATTGCCGATTTTTCAAATTGCCGAATTGCCGAATTGCCGAAGAGAACGTTCGATCGGCAAATTGCCGAATTGCCGAATTGCCGAAATTTTGATTTTCGGCAATTTGATATCAAAAAAAAATCGGCGAAACAAAAAGGAATGTCCCCCGATTTGCCGAAATTTTGATTTTCAGCAATTTGCCGAATTGCCGAAATTTCCGATTGCCGCACAGCCCTGGTATAAAATAGCCATAAAATCAAGAAATTAGGAAACTAGAGTATGAAAACCACAAGATCAGACCAAGTGTTCTTCGAAGACGAAACGAGGATCCAAGAACGGAATGTTTGATCTACCAAACTTTTGCAACAAATCTGAGAATCTCGGGACTCGTTAAAAATGAAGATTTTCAAAGAACGAAACTCGAAAAACAATGCAAGTGTTTCAAAAAAAAAACAAGACAATGTCTGTCTGTGCATACAGCGGCTAATCCAACACTCAAACAGGCGTCGGAGTGAACGAGAAAAAACCAAGTCGAATTGCATATCAGTTGGAAGATTGAATGGATGGGGGCGTCGGCGACGCTGCTGATGCCTCTGTTGCCGCAACAATCCCCCGAACAAAACTGATGATGGCCATTGGCAAAAACAGGTCTCAGGCCGCCTGTGTGTGTGTAAAAGTGTGTATGTATGTTGTATGTGTGTATGCGCGGTCGGGTTGCGCACTCTCCTAAACATTCCGTCAGTCAGTCAGTCAGTCAGAGTCATTTTGGTATCATGAAGATCGCCGAACGAAAAAGACGAACGATGAAGATGATGACGACGAGTAACGGAGGTTCGAGGTGGAATGAGGATGAGGCGAAAAAGGTAAACGAGGACGCGACACCACAGGACGAGCTAATTAATGAGATATCACCACGGTGCACACATTTCAAGGTTAGCCGCACCTTGTAAACTTTCATTATGGGCGATAAGGTCGGACAGGAAGATGTATCAATCCGACGGTGGCGACAACCATAAAATTCGCAGTCACTCATTAAATCCAGAACCATATGGTCTTTTTTAACGGGTATTGCCATTTCTGCGCACAAAAAAAATTCGGTCTAAGATTTGAACTTCTTCTTTGAAAATTGTCATAGAATTTTCTTTTAAAAATGGAGTACTGTAGTTATTATTACTATCCAATTTGCACAAATATGATCAAGTGAAGATAAGTAGATAAAACCGTTCAATAATTGTTCAAGAATTCGATTTTTGGGTGTACCAAGCGTTTTCCAAAATATCTTCTGGAATTCAAACGTTGTAAAAACGCTATAACGCGTTCCCCGATATAAGGCTGAATAATATGCATTACTAGCCGATCAAACATCCAGAGAATAAGGGAAGCAGAAGAATAAGAAGAAGCTTAAATGCACCATATTCGGGTACATCAATTAATACAAAACCATTCTTATCCGAATGTTAAGTGGACGGCGACCGACGAAATTACACGAACAAACAAAACAAGACTCCGAACGAAAACATGACCTAATAGGGTAGATGATAGTTGGTTAGGCTAGTGGTGGAAATAAAGAAACGAAGTATCATATTTTTCGTTTTTAGTACAAAAACGGAAAAAAAATGTATCGAATAGAACGAATCGATGATCGGATCCAAAATGTCGCAATGCGACACCGATAAATGAGATTGCGCGGATCGTCGGGGACAGATCAAATCAGCTGATTAGACAAGAAGGCGGTGGCGGTGGCTGTGCGGTGGCGACATAGACGGTGGCCTTCACGCCATCTCTAAGCCAACTGTAACAGTTGCTGAGAGCGATGCGCAACATTGAATCGAAAAAAATCCATATACGGTATTGAACCGCACAAACGATGACGACGATTAAGGCATCAAACAAGTTTTAATTGACTATGCGTCGACATACAAGCTGCAGCAGCAACAGCAACTTTAATGGAGGTATTTAATCATCTCATCGGAAAATTCCGGACATCAACGGCGACACCACTCATTCGCAATCATAACAAAACGACGCAGTCTTCCTCGCAATCCATCATCAACATCAGATTACAACACCACGTAAAGAGAGGCAAAAAACCGGAAAAAAACGAAAACCATTTCAAAACCGAACACCTTATCTATAAAGTCCATCACATATTATTGTATTGATAGCTGGAAATGGCTTGTAACCGGTTGGATTTTCAGCGAAACGCGGAAGTTGGTTGGATTGGTTTTGAGGCGGCACCAATTAAACCTTTCTTTGGAAACTTTTTTCGAAATCTGTCGTCAAGATGTCAAAAAATCTGCCATCTTATCGAAAGTTAAACAAAACCGAGAGTTTGAAATGTTCAAATCTTGCAAAAATGTGACAGATAGGCGCTCGCAAAATGATAATCGGATTCCACAAAGCTGATATACTGAAAAATCTCACAAACAACCATATATCATAATTGAAGCATGGTATAATGCATAGACTTAATAGAAACTATAATTTATTGTCCAGAATATTTAACCACTTGACAATTGTTGTCGTATGGGGATTTGGGTAGATTTACATGAGGATTGCTTCACTTTGAAACGTGGATTTCCAAACTTCTAAGGAATAAAAGAAATAAAAGAAAATGACGAACAAAGAATTCCACGTAAATCACTTCAAATTCTTCAACAATGTTAAAAAGTTGCTTATTTGAAGGTACCGTAAATTTTTATGATTTCAGCCTCCTCATTTTGTTACAAAACCATTTTGGATAAAACTTGGAAAATGCTCTTCATAAATGAAAACTAAAACATCGGATTTCCGGTCGGCGAAAATGCATCAACAAATGAGAAACGAAAGGACCCGTTGAAGTC